AAGATATATTATATAAGTAGTATGCCTATAAACTATCTTAGTTTTGGGCATGCCTTATGGCATGTCTTATCAGCATGCCAATGACTACTGTGTCATATACTCTAACTAGCAGTCTCTCTCAAACTATCAATTCAAATAGCTTGATATAGTATACTTCTGTATTCTTTTTTTTAGTAAGTTTAGTAGCCTAATTAATTATATGCTTTTCTATATATATTTGATGTTCAGTTTAATTTTTAGTTCTATAAAGATATTTTATAGGCTTCTACTGATCTAATAGTACTGTTAAAAGTTTATACTATCTTTTTACTTAGGAATTTCTAAATGGATTTCTGTTACCTCAGTTTTTTAGTTTTCTAGGTCTGAGGGCTTATTATGAGTTTGCACTAAAGTCTTATGCAATACCAGTTATACATTTCTCTATATATATATAATATTACACTTCATATAGATGCTCTAAGCTTTTAATGTTGATAGGACTGACTTGGTGCACCTTGGTTACAGCTACATAAGGCCAACTAATTAACAGAAGACAGTTATCATAATGCAGATATAATTTTCAAATTTTATTATAAGTGGAATTTGAACCTTAGATCTGCTACTTAAAGAATAACAATCTAATCATTATACTAGAATCACCATCCTTAGATATAATTTCCAAATTTTATCATAAGTAGGATTTGAACCTTAGATCTGCCATTTGGAGGATAACAACCCAACTACTATACTAAGATCACTATTTTTGGTATAGAAATATTTTTGTTATTATTTTGTAGTTAATAATAATAACTATTAAAAAGTAAAAATAATATTTATACCAGAAGTTATTAGTATCTACCTAATATGTATTACATGTTAATTTATTAGTTACTGTTATATAAGCAGATACTGTATTATATTCATAATAGTTACATGGACATTTTATATTTATTACAGTTACAAAAGTGCTTTAGTGTCGAAGTTAGATTGTGTAAAATCAGGTCTATAATCATTATATAATTATAAAGAACAAACAAATAAATAGGAGTTCAATTACAAACTTTAACTATTTTTGTTTATAAAAATAAATAAATACCAAAAAGGTGGGCACAGAATGCAAGTGAACCTAAAAATGCAATGGCATTCTTTACTGTTTTATTATTAACAAGTGGCACTTTTTATTAGAGTTTACACATTTTTCTTTACATACCTTTTTTTGAAATTTTTGATACCAATTAGCATTGTAAAAAAGTAATTACAATAAACATGAGTTGATAATAAAGAAAACTAAAAAAAATCTAGCAAGTACAAATAGACTTTATGTTAAATATATTTAAGTGCATCTGTTAAGATTTTACTATGTAATTTGTCATTAACATGCAATGTTCTTTTTGTAGGCTTTATGTATTTTTTTCTTAATATACCTTTTTCATTTACATATTAGTTAGTTTGGAGAAAGGAACAAAGGTAGAGCAAGTGTAAATAAATCTTTAAGTAAGACATAATAATGCATTTCTTAGAATTTTTATCATTTTACATTAATGCATCACATTTATTTCTAGGGTTTATGCATTTTTTTTATATACAATTTGCAATATTTTTTAAATTATGATAAATTTTCATTTCAGACATTTTCTTAAATCTTATTATCAAGTTAATGTTTGTTTTTAGATATCTGAAAGTTCTCACCAAAGCTTTGACAAATGTTATATAAACTATGAAATATCATCTTGTACTGAAAACGATGCTGACCTTGCTTTATTCTCTAGTGAGTATATGATTGATAAATTGCCTATATTTGGAAATATTAATAGAGCTAGTATATATAAAAGTGATGCTTTAAGAAATAAGCCTGATACTTTGGTTGTAAGTAGATATGTTGAGGTATCTAAAAGTAATAATTTTAAAAATGAGCATAGTGCTTTGTCTGTTATTGAAAATATTGGAGATGATATATCTAAAGATGATTATTCTGAAAATAAGCCTAAAGATAGTTCACTAAAAGAGATCTATAGTGAACAGATCTTTACTTCTTTTGAAGTTCTTGAAAGATGCTTAAAACGTTATTCACTCTGAATGAGTTTTGAAATGAAGATAGTTTAGTTGAAAAGAAAAATAAAGTTTTGGCTTGAAAAACATATAAGTGTCAACATAAAGATAAATACCTGCTCAAAAAAAAGTTAAATCCAACTACAAATCGAGAGTAGGAATCAGCTTGTATAGATTGTGGCTTTATGCTAAATGCTTTTTATCGAAAACACAAAAATCTTGTTTTTGTTAACAAATTTACTAAAGAGCAGAATCACATACTAAATAGTAAATTACATTAACTATTTTTATTATCACAAAAAATATCTGTATATATAAGGGAAGAAGTTCAGTTTTATGTTCAAAAATGTTATTTAGAAGCAAGTGTTTTGAAGCAGATATTAAGAAATAAGTTTTCTAATCAGAAAATATATAATAATAATCTTTACAAAAATGATAAGCAAATATAAAGCAAATGCACAAACTAAAAATGATACTGCAGCTTTGTATGAGCATCTTTCAAAGTTACAACAAAAAAACCAAAATTGGTATTTCAAGATTGACTTTGAGGGTATTGATAACAGACTTTCTAAAATTTTTTGGATGTTGCTGAACAAAAAAATCTGTAGGCTCGATTCTATGATATTGTTATTAATAATAATATATGCAAAACAAATAAATATATGATGCCTTTGAGCATTTTTATTATAATTAACTCAGATCAAAGAAGCCACATTGCAGCTACAGCTGTAGTTTGTGATAAGACCATATTAACTTATGAATGGATATTGGAACAAACAAAATTAGCTACTGAAAATCTTTAAACAAAGACAATTTTTATTGACACAGATCCAGTAATGCAAGTGGCTATATCTAATCAGTATCCTGAGACTATAGTTTAGCATTGCACATTTCATATTTAGCAAAATCTTGTTAAAAAAATTAAAAAAAGGTATAAATTTTTTTTTTAATATCATGTTTAGTTTCAAACATAATAGCTTTAATATATACCATTCAAAAAAATTTTTTTTTTATTATTAATATTTTAAATATATTTAATAAGGCTTAACAATAATTGGAAAAGATTTATTTCTGATTTTTATGCACTATGAAACTTATTAGTAATTTCTAATTTTGATCATCATTGGATAGAACTAATGGATAAATATCCAGAAGTTCAAGGATATTGTGACCAAGTGTTGTACCCAACTAAAGAATGTTGGGCTCATATATTTACAAAACAAAGTTTTTTAGCAAATATACATTTAATTCAATGTATTGAAAACATGAATCAGTTTATTAAATTAAAGACAAACTCTGGAAATTCTCTATGCCAGCTCCAAACTAAGATCAAATTATGGCTTAAAGATAAAGCAAAATATGTGAAATTTTAAGAGTTTAAAAATATGAATTCAACAACAGGTCTTTCTAATGTTTCTAATATGATATTTAAGAGCATTAATGACATATGTAAAAACTATCTCATGCCAAATTCATTGGCATTGTACCAAAAGCAAATGCTAAAGAGCCTTTTGTATAGATCTTTACTATATTTTAATAAACTTAATAGTACAAATCAGGTATATGCCTTTTTAGATTTCTAGCTTGTTCTAGTGTTATACCAGAAACAGAGTTTGTATAACATACAATGTAGTGTATAGTTTACAGGCAAGTTAATGTGTCTGTGTGATTCTCAGCACTTGATTGGTCTATGTGACTCTGTTCATCACATAATGTTATGCATTGCTTATTTTTCACATGCCATTTCATACCTTATACTGGTGGCATGACTATTATATATATGCTTGTACATATGAGCATTTAATATTTAATATATGGTTTACAGGTATCTGTGCAACTCTTAGTATATGATTGGATAATCTGTTATCATAAAATTGTGTAGCATACCGAACAATACTTTAAAAAGTAGGTATCAGAAACAAATACCTCTTTACACAAAATCTTTCAATATTTTTTAAAAAAATATAAATATGTGCATACATTTGTAAAATTGAAGATGCTATAACAAATGATAATAAAAATAGATACAAAAATTAGTGTTCCAATATAAATTTCAAGGCCTCAATGCTAAATATTAGTAATTTTTATTTTTTTTCATCGAATTTTTTATCGGACAGATAAAATGATAATCACTAATCATCAAAAAAGAATTTGTTAATCATTTCTAAATACAAATATGTTTCATAGATTTTTAATGTTTTCAAATTTAACAGAACTGGGTGATGCTAGCTAACCAACTATATAGTAGTCATTATTAATAGGTTTTTAGGCTCAGTTACTGAAATTCAACCAATATTCAGATTGCAACTACTATTAACTTCTTTTATAAATAGTCATTTTCTTGTTCAGGAATAAATTGCAATAAAGAATATAGTTTCCCATAACTGAAATAGTGTTTGTGTAGATTTTACCCATTTTTGGTTTTGCATAACAACATTGTGCAGCTATTTATAACTAAAAACTACATTTAATATTTTTGGTTAGAAATTAGACTATAACATAGGTTTTATAGAAGATGATTATAAAGAACCGCAGATATTGTTAGATATAGCTTTAGAGAATTGTGCTGAAGGTAGTATAAATGAAATTTGGAAGGTTCGATACATTCAATTCACAACGAATCATTTACAGTTCATAATATTACTTGAAGATAGGACACACTATTGCACATGTCTTTATTTAATATATTTAAAATTTGTTTGTTGGCATTTTTTTGCTATAATGATACAATCAAAAAAAGCATTCTTTAGTATAAAATTAATACCTTCTTATTGGTACTTTGAAGAAGGTCTTACAACATCTGATGAAAATTGAGAATTCTTTGTTCAAGTAATACAAAACAAAGATAGTCTATTTTTAGTTAGAATGTTTCAAGTATTAGAAAGGATTGTGAACATAAAGTTAATAATAGAGATATTGTAAAATTGGATTCAAAAAAAGTTTCTTACTTTCATAGTTTTGGGCTTTGTAAAAAAGCTTTAGATATGGCAATCATGAGTGGTTCTAATAAAGTTTTAAAAGATCTTCTGCAAGAATTTATTGATGATCAAATTTCATTGCAAAGTAAAAATAATTATGAGCTACTGAACAGAGATTAGACCAAAATATTACCAATTTTAAGATTTCAAATCCACTTCAATACAAAAATAAGGGTCATCCTGCAAACAAAAGATACTTGTTAGCTATTGAGAATCATAGTATCAAAAATATTTATTCAAATAATCAAGAAGAAATATCAGCATCTGGATTAATGAAAAAAACAAGTGACAATATGCTATATATAAGTCATGGTATTATAATTCTCAAAATTGCCCTTCAAAAAAATAATTAAATAGAGTTAGATACAAAAATGCAAATTTATGCTTTGTGAATATATGCTGTTTGTTATAAGTATTGACTGCCTATATTTAAGTTTATGTAAATATTATATGAAAATGCTATCACTTATTCAAACCAATTTGACTTGAGATCGATTTGAACTCTATCTCATAGTTAGGTTAGATATTAAAAAAGTTGAGTAAAATATTTAGTGTTTGATGCTTTTAAATACCCTTTTTTAAAAGTTAGATTAGAGTGAATACTAGTATTATTTTTTAAAGTTAGAGAAGTTTATAAGAAAATCAGCTTAGTTTAAAAAATTTTTTCACAGTCCAAATATATAGAAAATAACAGAATCATACAGATCACAAAGATGTTTAGAAATTGAAAAAGATGTGAAAAGCTAAAATGGCATCTGATGTTCTAACAAAAATTTTGGAAGGATGCAATCGATATCTAATAGTAGTTGATTCAAAAAATAATTAGGTATAAATCTGGTCACTCTGTTATAGCATATAAATACCTATTTTAAAATTATTTTGCCAACTCTATAACAGACTGATCAGATAGCTTATATTCTATAATCCTAACCATTGCAAAGCAACAAGGTTTAGCAAATAATCTTTTAATTTAAACTTCAGAATTCGATGTACAAAAATATAAAGTTATATGAATAAATATATTAAAGATTATCAAAGTTTATGTAAACAAAAATCTAATATATTATATGAATAAAAGGTTATATAAACAAAAATATAAAAAGTTACATAAATGAAAATACAAAAGGTTACATAAATAAAAATACAAAGGGTTACATAAATGAAAATACAAAGAGTTATATGAATAAAAATACAACAAAGAATTTCACAAACAAAACTATAATAAGTTATATGAATAAACATTGTATAATTTATTATATATCACGTGAATATATTCTAAAACTTAATTGGTTAGCATAAAGTAGAATATTAATATCCCCTAGTATTAATTAGATTTGTTCTATTAAAAATACTAAATTATAAGATAAATTTAAAAAATAACTTAAAAAAATAATTTTAAAAAAATTTAATTAATAATATTAAGAATAAAATTAAAAAACTTATATTTAAAATTTTGTTTTTTTTAAAAAAAATTCTTATTATCAAATTATTTCTAATTTTTATAATCTGATTTCTATATATTTACTTTTTTTAAATAAAAAATAACTAAACAAAATTAATATATTTATATTAAACTAGATCAAAAACAAATTTAAAATGTTATTTAAATACTTAATTTTTTAACTAAATTACAAAAAATATAAATTAACAATACTAATTTTTAAAAATATTTTAGATTTTAGTCTTATTTTTATTTAAATTAAATTATTTATTTTTAATAATTTTTGAACAAAATATAAAAGAACTGCAATTTTATAACAGTTACAAAATAAAAAGAAAAGGTATAATAACTTAGTAAAGTGAATCAGTTGTTAACTTCCAAGTAATAGGTTAGGTGTTCAAATTTTATTAACAATAAAAATTTAGATAATCATCTATTTAATACTTGTATTATAGCAACTGTTTTTAAGAATTAGATAATGATAATTGCATTAGCATAAATAGCAAGTCATAAGACATCTATATAACTAGTTATATAAAAGAATGCAAATTAATATCAAGTAATATAAACACTAAATAAGTTTTTGTAATTATGTAAATCTGTTAAAATTAAGAAACAAAAAGTTTATCTAAAAAAATCTAAGTAGAAAAATAACATAGACTTTTAATAGCTTTACTATATATAAAAGTTAGATTACTAAAACAGATACTAATATCAAGTACTCAGATAGGTAAAAACTTTTAGATAAGAAGTATTACCAACTAGACTGTCAAAATAAACTAAAAAAATAATATTAGACTAATCTAATATATTAATAAACTAGTTGTAATTCTATACAGACTATTTAAATTAGAAGTTTAAAAACAGACAGAAGTATACTAAAATACTAAGAATATGTTATAAAGTAAATAAAAAATACTAAGGTTCAAGTAATCTCTACAAGAACATAGCAATTTAATAACTAATTCTGATCACAAGTATTAGTTTTGCTATAATAATATTGTATTAGTTATAAAAATAAGTATAAAAGGTTTCAGAAGGTTTACTTTAAAGATAAAATAGTTCTAAAATTGAGACAATGTTTTGGACATGACCTACTAGTTTTAATACAAATTGCAAATTTAGTAATTTTATTTTTTTTTTATCTTTATCTCTCTCTGCTATTCTGAAGGTCTTTAGACATCTTTAGGACCTGTTATATTTTTTAAAAACCAGAGTTATTATTTTGTAAAGATCATTAAACAGCATATAGCTTCTGTATATTACTGAACTATGAGATAACTCATTTTTCATTAAGTCTGTTATATGATGTTTTAGGTTCCTAGTTCTGTAGTATAAGACCTACTATCTTCTTTAGTTTTCAGTTTTCTAACTTTATATAACTTATCAGCTGGATTGTTTATAAATTTTGATATTCTCAATTCTACATGTTCTTAAATTGGGCTCTCTCAATGTTAATGTTATTTGTTGAAGAATTATATCTTATCTGATTGTTTCCAACTCTGTAACTATGCTAGTCACTGCATTCTTTTTCATATAAATCTTGTTCTTGCTTTTTTTTGTTTTTAAATAAAAATCTTTTATAAATCTTTTTCAATCATGATCCTGATAAAGTTTTTGTTATCCTTTGAACTTAAACTTATGACCTTGTGATTGAGACCTGGGAGTGCTAACCATTGCACTATCAACTTACAGATTGTGATTCAAAGATTTTAAAATAGAATACTTAAACAAAAATATTAAGTATAACAATTAATAAAAAACCTTTAAGTGAATTCTTTAAATAGGTAATATAAAAAAGTTATACATATAACCAATTATATATTTTTTTTGTAATAGTTCATAAAATTACATTACCAAAAAAATATTAATAAAAGTTCAAAATTTAAAGAGGTTATTTTAATATAAAAAAAAAATAAAAAAAATAAAAAAATAATAGTATTAAAAATACTAAACCAAAATATAATAAAATTAAAAAATAAATCAAAAACTAAAAAACAAAATTTAATAATTTTATAAAACAACTAATTATAAATATTATCAAAATTAAAGATATTAGAGTGTGGCAATCTAGTGAAGTGATCAGGTTGTCAACCCTCCAAGTAGTAGGTTGGGTGTTCAAATCCTATCAATAGCAAAAATTTGAATAATTACCTATGTAATATTCGTATTATGGCAATTGTTACTAATGATTTGGTTAGAATACCTGTAATGGCGGTTACACCAGCATAATTGGCAGGTTATAGGGCATCCATGCAATGTTGAAGTTACATGGAGGATTGCAAACTGACAAATCGGGTAGTGCAAACATTAGATAAGTCCTTGTGGTCATGTAAATCTGTTGAAATTAGGTAACAAGAAGTCTATTTGAGAAGATCTGAATAGAGAGGTAGCTGGATTTTTGATGGCTCTACTGTAAAGGCTAGCCTGGTGAAACAGATACCTAGGTTTAGTACCCGGTCCTAGTAGATGAATGGGCAAGAACCTCCAGGTTGGGAGTCTCAGAGGTACTACTAACCAGGCCATCAGAACAAATCAGAGAAAAAGAATATCGGGCCAACCTGATATACTGATGGACTGGTTGTAGTCCTACATAG